TTTATTCAAATTATTGATCATTGTTTGCAAACAGTCGTCAATCAATGGCCGCATTTTGCGTAACTTTCCGGTCGAGAAAGTGGGCGATACTATCGCTCGCAACCGTTTCCACTGGTCATCCATCACCGCCTGAAGCATATTACTAAACAACGGGTCGCTGTCTAAATTCATATTCTAAGCAAGTACAATTTATGTAAACTTTCATTTAATCATGTAGATTATTTGTGTGGCAAACTTACCCTCCTATTCGTAAAACTAGTGAATTCTTTGCTGAGCACTAAACTAATGATATCGGGTTTACTACAGATAATAACAGTCTTCCCAAACTGTCTAATGCCATATAGATTGCCGTATTTGTCTGCCATGGCCTGTAGTACCACTTCCGACGATTGTCTCTTCCATATAAATGTCCAAAAAGATGGCATTTTAACGTCCTTTCCCCTCACATTCCTGTCCTCCCAGTGTTTACTGTCATCTCTACGATAGTACCTTTCAAATTGAATTCATTGATTATTATTTAGTGATATTGGTTAAGTATAACTATTGTACTTGATTATAACGAATACAACTCCAAATACGAGTAAAGTAATAAAATAATGTGTTGCCAGGTATTGACCAAGGTGTTGCACACTATCCAACAGTACATCCATTGTTTACAAGAATATTGATTTTCTATCAAAAACTACAAATAAAATTATGTTTTAATAGAAAATATTAGAGACAATGTCAAAGGAAATACATACCCAACGGGAATGGAGTGCAATACTTGTCAATTAAATTCTTAATAAAAACTTTTCAATTAGCTATTAATAATTTGACAGTCACTTTATAAGTATGAAAATGAAATGTCTGTGGATTTATGTGGTCTCAATATAAACATAATATCCATATGAGTGTATTACAACTGCACTCTTATCATTGCATCAATTTGTTATCCCATTCAGTACTTTAGGTTCGCGATAAACCCAGTGTTGATAAATGATACTGCTATTCAAACAAAATATTTACTTATTTTAATAACTTATTGCAATGCAGAGATTAATATCATAATAATGTAAAAATAAGTAGGAGTTCAATTTGGTAGTGTATATTAGTTTGTCCTTCACTTGAATGTCTAACCATTGGTTTACAATAGTTTACGTAATGCAAGAATTTCCATATTAATAACAGAATTACAACTATTTATTAATTTTTATGTTCATTGTGTTTACGATTTTATTTAGAGTTATCATTAAATCCATACATAATTATTATAAAATAAAGTCAGATGAGTTTATTCTTAATTACTTAAGTGACTAGACACTATAATTTACAATAGACAGTACAGTACATTAATTTTTATGTTGTTTTATGGAAAAGTATTTAAGCTTTAAGTTAATACAATGTTTAACTTTATATACGAAATAAACATTATTAATCATAATATACTGTAATCAATTGAGTCCAAACTGGTGTCCATTTCAATGAACTCTTTTCACAACTCTTAACGACACCTCTTTTGGTACGATTAGTCCTAAATTATAGTACCTTTCCGGTGGTTGCTGTGGACGGGTGTCAAATAAATTAGTCATTCATTATAGGGAAATAACTTAATAAATAAGACTTACTGCAGTTTTACCGTAGATTTCAAACTTAAAGTTATAGACAGAGTATAGTAGAGCCAACTTTGCCTCCATTAGGGCCAGTCGTTTAGCCACACAATTGCGAGGGCCGGCACCAAACGGTAGGTGCGCGTAGGGATGGTG